CTCGAGTGACGTGTCTATAAATAGGTCTTGAAGAGAGATTTCAGACGAGGTGAAGTTCTTGAGGAGACGAGGAGTTTACATCCCATAAAGGCCAGATAAACACACGAGGTAAAAATCTAGATTCTCAAAACAGTTTGTGTTTGGCATATACAGGTAAAAATATGGATTCCCAAAATAGTTTGAAGAAAGATTTCAGACGAGGTGCAGTTCTTGCGGTTCGGTTCCGGTTCCGGTTCAGTTCCGAACCGGCAACAGGTCTAATACCACCAATAATGTAGTTTATAAGGAAGTTTTTCGCAATGTGTAGATTGTGAAACCCTATATAACATTTAGTTTTTTCTACTTATTCCAAAACAAACTTACTACTTATATCTGAGTTTTAACTATCTGATCTTTAATTATAATTTATTATGCATGTTATGTCTATGACGATTTGCATTCATTGCACACAACCAAGTAATAATATTTACAAATAATGTCATATCGCTATTACATTTTAATATCCCGCGCATCGCGCAGGTGAGAATCTAGTGAATACAAATGGCCGGGGACAAAAATGATAGCATTTCTTGCTGAGTTTTTAGGATAAGCATTTTAAAACAACGATTGCACATAATAATGTAATTTGAATTAATAAAACTAATATGTAACCTGTGAGATGCATGGGAAAAATATTCTTTTAGATTATTTATAACCTTTATGAATTAAGATGTGATGAAACGGTTAGCAACACAAGATGGGGGTGAATTGTGTGTGTGGAATCGTGGCAGTTTTTCGCCAAGGTCTAGTGTGTGGTATATGGTATTGCAAGAATATAAAGCGCACAAGGATTTAACGAGGAAAAATCCCTTGGATCAAAGGGAATAAAAAACCTCGACCTCCCTCGGAGAAATTTTAACAACTTCACTATAAGCCTTTTGTGGTTACAAGATAAACTCTCCTAGTCTACCCTTGAGCCACCCCAACTCTATCTTCTCTAGGAAGAATTATGCTTCTCTACCTTGCGGGTAGAGAGCCTCCCATCTTTACATCAAAGCTTTCACTCACACAAACCAACCCGAGGTGGCTACACTTAGCCAATTCCTCAAAAGCCCAATTACAATTTGAAGAAGGGAAAAGAAACTCTATCTAGAACTCTTGTTCAGCATGTTCAGGTGCCTTAGACTTGTTAATTCTTTCGTGTATGTCTCTCAATATTAGCTCGGTCAAGCACACCTCTTTTTTTCTTGATCTCGGCATATATATAACCTGTTTTGAGGCAGTCGTTGTGGTTTCCTTCCTTGAATGATTGAGCTTCCAAACTTGGGACTTCCCTTGTTATAAGTTGAAAAACCTTCCTTCTATATCGATCTTCTTTATTCGAACTCAGTGAATAAGGTAACCAAATTAAGATTCACAAGATATCATACTAACGTATAGAAGGAAGGAATTTATTTGCTTATCATATATAATCATGCAACAGTCCATACATAGCAACACCCCATCCTTATATGGCCAATCAAGTTATGCAATTACTACGGTCAAACAAAAATATGGAGTATTTATCAAACAAAAATACTCTAAGATACTCCACCAAAGAAGCTGTGGTCAACCTTAATAAATATAGCAAGATACTCACTTAGCATAGATAAGGGTGCTACGGTCAAATGAAGTTCGAGATTCTGACTTCTGAGCAAAACATAATTTCCTGTAAACATTTCTAGCCAATTATAATTGTAAACAATTTTCCGGCCTCCCTAATTTGGAAAGATTATAAGCAATTCTCAGCTTTCATTTCTACAAATTTTTTGATCTGAAAGCAAAAGGATGTTGATCTATTTTATCCTTTGTAATAATCTTTGTCAGTACCGGAATTTATTTTTAATTTGGGAAAACTATCAAATAAGCCCCCGTACTATACCAAAAAAGTCAATCAGCCTCCCGTACTTTACAAACACTCAATTAAGTCCCCGAGCTATTAAAAAACGTTCAATTAAGCCCTTTGGTCGGTAAGTAACCGGTTTCCCGATTAAACGGCGACGACGGCAACGATGTGCTCGAACCCCAGCAACGGCGGCTGCCAGAAAACGGGTTACATTTAACTGGGAAACCGGTTCCTTACTGACCAAAAGGGCTTAATTGAACGTTTTTTAATAGTTCGAGGACTTAATTGAGTGTTTGTAAAGTACGAGGGCCTAATTGACTTTTTCTGTATAGTACGGGGCTTATTTGATAGTTTTCCCTTTTAATTTTGACATCTTTTTTGCAGGTCAGTTGCGAAGAATGCATTAGCGAGTTCAGTACCATCAATTTCCCTCCCATTTTCTGGTTCCCAACATAGCCTGAAATCCTGAATAAAAGTAAATATTAGAGTTTACTAACATTTTCTTCTTCTCAGGGTATTGTTCCTAGGGATGTCAAACCTGGGAACTTTCTATTTACTCGGAAGCTAATTAAAGGTTACCTTGTTGATATCAACCTTGACTTGGTGAGTAGTATTCCATATTTCAGAGCATTTGTCTCTTCAATTCCATTCTTCCCCTCTTGGGAATGGTGTAAACTGAATACTATTATTCCTTGAACAGGATATGAACAAAAAAATGCAAGCGCAGGTACATAATTAAGGCGTCCTTGATTTACTATCCTCTAATTATCTTTCAATTCGCGGAGAGGGAAACAACATCAGTTTGGCAGCTTTGAAGCCTAAAGTTTAGCGTTAATGAATGGTTTGGACACTACTAGTAAAACTTTGAATCACTTTTTAATTTTAAGTTGAAAGACCAAACTCAACAACTTATAATATTTTGTTTGACCAAAACATTTAACCTGAAGGGGATAAGAAAAAAATTATATCTTGCATATATGTGTGTTTAGTTTGAGTACATGGCTGCACTACATATAGTGTTGGATTTAGCTGCTAGTGGAGGAGGCTGGTTTACAATTGAATGTTATTGTGGTTTTCATATTCTCTCAAGTTGATCCTTACAGGATTTGAACTATGATACTGTATCAATGGCTTCTGGATAATTAATGTTTCTTCACCAAAGAAAATGCATCCAACTGTATAGACATATATTTATATATGGCAAAACACAATATACTACAGTAAAGATATAAACTTGTGTTATGTGTACTTATTTTATACACATATATAAATGAAAACAATCATCCCAGTAAAAAGCCTCAGACAGAATCCAATGTAATAACTTAAAATTGTCAAGTAAAAGAACAAGTGACAGTTCTGTCATTAGAATTGAAACTTTGGTGAGTGCAAAGATCAAGAGAATAAGCAGTTTGTTATTTTTATCTAACTAGAAAATGCTCTACACACCATTGGTAATGCTCTCTTTTAATAGATATGTGTTAGCTAACTTCATTTGTATATTTCTATTACATAGACGATTATTAGGAGCAGCCAAATGTAGTGAATATCATTTTGCATTTAAGATGGCACCTTGTTGAAGAAATTCCATCTTAAAATCGATGTGCTATTTCGGAGTCGTAATTGGATATATGATTTGTTTAATATTAATGACCTTTGATAGTATTAACCCTGGCTTAAGAGTGTATTATTAACCCCTGTTTCCAAACTGATATGTGCCCAGGAAAATGAATATCTTCAAGAGGTTTTCAGCTTTACGCCCAGGGGAAAAAATGATGGCAATGAGGTGGGTATACAGCTTCTTCACTTAAAACCATATTCTCAAGAGCAGATAGATAGATGAGAATGGAGATGCTTGGACTAGATACTTTAGTAATCAATCTGTGTAGTATATTTACAATAGTATATTTACAATATTGTATTGTTAGACATGATTTGTGATTACTTCCAAGGTTTTGTGTATTGTTTGCTTCATTGTGATGACTTATATTTGTAAATCTTTATGATTTGAGGACTGAAGTGATGACTCATGAATTTCCAGTTTGTTAGTTAAGGTAGAGCTCTACATAGTCTTTGATGTTGTAGTATTTACATTCGGTGGAGTCCCTTGGAGGTATATTAGCATTAGGCTAGTAGCCCCCTCTCCATTCTAAACAAAATTTCAGTTTTATCTAATAATAATGAAAAAAAATTATGAGTCGCCTATACTTTTGAAAGCGATGTGTATAGTAAATGTGAAAGAATACTTTTAGAGTCGCTTAAATCAAATAAGCGAGATGTAAAGTGAGTTATTGCATCGCCTAAAGAGCGATACAATAAACGTGTTACCTTATGCATCGGTAGCTATTGCATCGCATTTAAAGCGATGCGTAAAGGGAGTTTATAGGCCACTCAAAAGGTATTTTTTGTAGTAGTGGTTATTTTACTTTCCCTTGTACAAATTTCATTCATAAAATTTTACTCCGTTATTCCACATACAAATCAAATTGGTCTAGCATTACGACATGGAGGGAGTTCAAAATAGCAATGTTGAGAAAATTAACAAAGCATATACTTGTTTGAGACATGAAAATATGATCAATAGATCAGAGTAGTGTTTCAGATGCAGAGATTTGGTTATAGAACTAATGCTTTTGTTTCGCATCTGGATAATGGAAACAAATCAAACTTTAGATCCATGCTTTTGGCCTGATTGACCGATTCCAGTTTCTGAGTTATGTACTACTCGGTACTAAGGTCTAAGGTAAGTTTAAAGGGAGCAATAATCCAAATTATTTAAGATCACTCTACCTTCCTATACTGTCTTACTGTAGTCTAACTTTCATTTAGAAATTAAGGAGCTCAAACGAAGTAATAGTAACAACTAACAAGATGTTTAAAAGGGAGCATATCACAAAGCTTAAGTATATGTTTTAATTTACACTTAATTAACAACTTTTCTTCTATGTTTTTACTTAACACATTTATAGCCAAAATTGAAATGTACGTTTCTGTTTCGTGTAGAAAAATGGGGAACAACACAAACCACCCCTTAAAAGAAAGAAACTAGAAAGAAAATTTTGAGCCATCTCAAAATGAAAAGTGACAAGAAAGTTTTGAAAGTAAGTTGGATGCAAAATATGAGATTATGATAGAAACTGGGCATAGCGCGCGTGAATTGAATAATTGATAACAAATTCATATGTACAATCAAAATCATAATCATACAATATGTTGTTTAAGACCTACATCAAGTTAATTCATAATCCAAAAAAATTAATTAACTTATGTATGCCACAACCACAGTAATGTCATCAATCTTTCCCCCTGAATAATTCAGCCCCGCCAATCTTGAAGCCCTTGAAAATGGCGTTTCCTTCTTCCTATCATACGAATTGTTCAAAGCCATATTTCCCAACAATAACGTCAAGCTCTCCGCCATATGCGACCCTCCTCCCATGGCGTACGTCTCATCCACAGCCTCTTCAATCTCGGCCACGTCCACATTGTCCAGAAGCCCATCCGTCCCGGCCACGACCCAATCTCCCTTCTCCACCTTAACTTCAAGCTCTTGGGCCACACTCAGCCCATCACCGATGTCTTTCCCCAGCTGATACGGGTGGTTGAACCTCCTCTGCTGCACAGGCGATTTGTACACCACTTTCCCGCCTCTTATCACGTAAAACCCGCTGTCTCCCACGTTCACCGCCTTCAGAGTGTCGGTCTCCGCCGCGTGGGTGACGATGCACGCGGTGGAAGTCCCGGCGGAGGATGTTTTCTTGAAAGCTTTTTCTAGGACCCGCTTAGGGTTTACGGAAGTAGTCGGCGGCACGAGCTCTAAGACTTCTGTCACGTTAATCATCAGTTCCCTCGCAAATTTCCCGGCGTCGATGCCCTTCGCAGCCCACCCGCCCACCCCGTCGGCCACTCCGAAGGTTGATCTGCCTTGTTGGACGAGGGTGAAGTGGGCGTCCTCTCCACGTGGCCTTTTTGGATTTTCTTTTGGAATATAGAGGGAAGCAGCCGTCATTTTCATAGTTGATAGATAGGGAATCTGTAATAGATAGGGAATCTGTAATACTTCATAGATAGATAGATAATCCGGAGGTTAATGTTTATTTATACGGAGTACTACCGATTACGTTGTACGTTTCCTAATGGTATACGGACTTTTGTTTGTGAGGGAATATACGGACTTTTTCCTACGTTGTACGTTTCTGCTCTTTTTCCCTTTTTTCCTCCGTCCCAATGTGAAGATCTCATTTCTTTTGGGCTCAAAGATTAAGGAAGTGGTTGAAAAAGTAAAAGTTGTGATTGAGATTTGAGTAGAAAAAGGTGAAATGATGTGGACCACATATTTCTTTCAAAAAAGGGAAATGAGACTATCAATTTGGGATCATCAAATTGGGATGGAGGGAGTAATTGATAATATATACTTCTAGGAAGCTTATTTCTATTATTACTGTTGAGGTTTATTCCTTCAACCCTTGGACCCAACACGTAAGCCCAAAGATTTCGAGTGGAGTGAGTATATGAATATCTAGCTCAACAGCTATCAGATGGATCAGGAAACAAGAGTAATAGCAGGCAATGTAAATAGGTATTATTAACTTCGTAATAACTCCCCTAAGTACAATCTACTTGCTAAAAAGGGCACGTCGGCCGTTCGTCTTACAAGGCAGTTAGAAATGCTGCGAGTAAGAATGCTGAAGCTAGTATGCTAAGAATAGAAAGTTGCCAACCCTTTACAATGAAATAAATGCTTCTATTTATACCCGCCAATGGGCAGGTAGCCATGCTGACGTGGAAGCCTGTGGACCGCTTGTGTCCCAACCACCAAATCTTCAGCATTAAATGCACTTCCCGCCAGAATCTGGGTTTCCCGCCCAATCAGTGGGGACGTTTGTCCGCCCGGGAAGTGAGTTGGATCGCCCCAAGTGACCCTCAGGAGATACCGGCTGTTCGTCTCCTGGCCTTATAGACATTCACCATGTGGGCTGGGTTTCCTCCGATGACCACAGGCTTGCCCCGGAGACGTTCGTCGCCATCCCGTGGCCCTGCTCCTTGTCCCTGCACAGACGTTCGTAGGGATGAGCCGCTGGGCCTGAGCCCCCAACACCAGACGTTCGTCCATCCTCAAGGGACATGGGCCTGTGGGCTGGCCTGGTGTTCTAACTGGACGTGCGTCTGGCAATATGGGTTAGTGGGCCGGACCTCGGCTTGGGCCCTTAACCCAACAATTACTAATTTAGGTATTAAATTGGGTCATTAAGAGAAAAAAATTAATTCCATGTTGATCACATGAGCTTTATTTCAATTCCAATTTTGTCCACTTTTGACACTTGATAAATGTCTCTTGATCATTTGTGATCCTTTTCTACCAATCTTAACTACGAGAAACATTGGCGAAAGAATCATATTTGAGCGAAAACACAATTGTCATGTAATTAAGACGATTAAAGTAAAAAATATAGACCAATTGTGAAATTGATGCGATACTCGTAGGACTAAAAGTGGAATTTATTCCTAGGAAAAATGAATTTAAGAGTTTTGAGATTTAATAATTTTTTGTACTTGGTTTTTACTTTTAGTAATATACTGGCCATAACCTCAACATTTATATTCTCAAAAAAACCCAAAATTTATATATGGTATTATTGTGTTCTATGTATTGAGATTTTATTCAATTTAGTAGATTAGACCTTTTTAAAATTAATTAAAAAGGTATCTCTTATATAGGGGTGGATTTGGTTTATTCTAGTTTGATTTTAACCACAAATAAATACCGAGCCAAAGTAGAAAGTCCATTCGGTTTTGATTCGATTTTCATTTCAAAATTTTAAACCACGGTTTTATTGGTTTGATTTGTTTCGGTCCGGTTTCATTTTTTTCGGGTTTTTATTAAAATTTGTCATTTGGTTTAAAATGATATGATAGTTGGAGGTATCAAACATACTCGTATTACATAAAAAATTCAAGCATAGTAGCATAAATAAAATAAAAAAGAGAAGTAATAAACGTGTCTTGAATTATATGAGTATGTAATAGAGATAAAAAGTGTATATATCTTTAATTTGCATTGTTTATGACTAGTTTGAAAAAAGTTCATTAATATATACTCCATACGTTCTATGTGATATAGTTGAGATGAATATTTATTTGCTCTATCAATATAAAAACTTTAAGATACTGATACATAAAAATAGAATATAATGACTAGTAATAGTTAGTAAAGACATATCATCATTAGAGGTGGGGAAAAATACCGAAATTTCGGTATACCGGACTTACCATATCGAAAAATACCGAATTTACCGAAATGTTTGGTATACCGACACTTTTGCTACGGTATGATACCGTACCGAATTACTTCGGTATGGTATCGGTATATATTTTGGAAATAACGGTATACCGGTATACCGTCATACCGTCATTTCGAGCCAATAATTTCCTTAAAATTATAAAAATAACTAGAAACACAACACTAATTCAAGGATAAATGACTTTATATCCATGTTTCTTGAATTATTTGTACTTTTTGGTGGAGATCGGTGTTATTTTAATTATATTTATGTTGTTTAAATTATTTTAGCAAAATGCGTTGTTATCTTCATATATCGTGTGTTGAAATATCTATACATATTTATAATATTTTTAGTTCAAATTGAATAAAACACAAATAGGTTATCTCATTGGTATTTTATAATTAATTTCATTAATGATATATATCACGGTTAACACTTATTTTCTTTATTTCATTTGACATATAACAATTTGTTATATTAAATCATGATAATTTACTGATACCGTACCTTACCGTACCGAAATTTTGGTATACCGAAATAAGGTATACCAAAATTTCTGTATGGTAACGGTATGTATATTTTTTGCATATCGAAAGTTTACGGTATGGTAAAGGTATGCGACAAAATATTCGGTATATAGTACCAAACCACCCTTAATCATCATGCAATAAATTGTACTAGTAACATATATACACACATAACAGACATAATAGATCAATACAACTACATTATTATACGCAAATTGTCAGTCATTTATCAACTAAACTAAACATAAAATAAAAATTAATTTTCTAGCACAAAAAAGCCAAAGACGACATTAGGATTAATTAGGATTAATGCTTAACAGTTAACAAATAAAATTTCATATTTTAAGTAGTTCGGTTTATTCTGTCCGGTTTTGAAGGATAGAAACCAAAACCGAATAGAAAACTTCTTTTGGTACACCTTGGGTTACACCTTGGTGTACACCCCATATAACCCCCACATTTCTTATTTCTCCCCTCCCAACATTTTTCTCTCCACTCTCATTCTCTCCACTCCTCTCCCATTTGAATCATACGGACCCCCCTCCCTCCTCTCTTTCTTCTTTCCTTTTCTTCTTCTTCAACATATTGTTCTTTCTTCTTTCTTTCTTCCTTTCTCCTTCATCTTCTTCTTATTCTTCTTCTTCTTTCCTTCTCTTTTTAGGTTTTATTCACCCCAATCATCTTCATTATCTTCATCACCATCTTCTTCTTTTTCTTTCCTTCTCACTTTTTACGTTTTATCCACACCGACACTGATTTGCTATAGTGTCTGTGTACACAGACGAAAGTTGTATATATACATACACTTTTTTTATACAAGACAACTAACGTCTGTGTACACCGACACTTGTTTTCCAACTAATTTTTCACACCGACACTTTTTTGTCTACACAGACAACTAACATATGTGTACACCGACACTTGTTTTCCAACTAATTTTTTCACACCGACACTTTTTTGTCTACACAGACAACTAACGTCTATGTACACCGACACTTATTTTCCAACTATTTTTTCACACCGACACTTTTTTGTCTACACAGACAACTAACGTTTGTGTACACCGACACTTGTTTTCTAATTAATTTTTCACACCGACACTTTTTTGTTTACACAGACAACTAATGTCTGTGTACACCGACATTGGTTTCCGTGCAACCAGCCTGACAGATCTAGAAACTAATTTTACTCACACCGACACTTTCAATGAAAGTGTCTGTATTTGTGTGTTTTTTGCATGTGAGAAGGGCAAATAAATGGGTGTACCCCAGGGTGTAACCCGGGGTGTACACCAAGAACTATTGAACCGAATAAAATAACTACTGTTCGGTTTTTACATTCGGTTTCAGTTTTTTAGCGGTTCGGTTTTATTTGGTTGCGGTTCGGTTTGTTTTAATTCGATATTGATTTGTTGTTTTTGGACTCTGTCCTACTTTTATATGAGTACTTATTTGAAATTTATGTAATATATTACCCCATTATAACATTTTGAAGTTCACATGTTGTCCACTTGTCCTTGCATTTAAGCAAAAAAATTACACTTAGCTTGGTATACCAAATTTGTAAAAATCTATCATAAACTTGAACAAAATCTAAATTATAACAAATTCAAATTTTATAATCTCGCTCTTAATTAAGTTAATTCACTTGGATATATGTTTGAAGCGAAGGTGCTTAAAATACATTTATCTTTATTTTTGTAACATTTAGCATACTGAAGTTCTGGATTTTCATTTGTTTCGTTTAGATGATTACTATACGGAATATGTACTAAAGTTACTATATGTCGAAATCAATTAGCTCGTTTTCTAGTCAAACTGAGTCATGACATATTATCATAAATCTATAATGATTTCCCGGGGTTTCAAGACTAAGTAACCGATTTTGCATGAGGAATTTGTCTATGTCGCCAAAATAAATTGCAATGTGAATGGTTTTGAATGGAATTGAGTAGGGGTGAGCATAACTATTTGGTTTAACCAAATCGAACCGTACCAAATCGAACCAAAACCGGACCGTATGCAATTTGATTTGAGTTTGCTATTATTTCTTCCAAACCGTATTAAACCGAACCGAACCAAAACCGATAAAAACCGAACAAAATCGAACCGAACTAAAGAAATTCAAAAAAAAAACTTCATATACTATTAAAAATTAACAAATCCAATCCAAACCAAACTGAACTAAACCAAACCGAACCAAACCGAAAAATAGTACGGTTTTTGTTTGGTAATAATTCTTCCAACCCGTTCCAAACCGAACCGAACCGAACCGAAACCGATAAAAACCAAACCGAAAACCGATATGCCCAACCTTAGAATTGAACATCAATTTCACTCATCCAGATAATATAAAAATTCAGACGGAATATTATAAAAATGTTCAATGTTTAACTTGTTTGGGGTTTAATGCTAACAGTTAGAGTTTTGTTGTTGTTGAGAAAAGTTTATTTTGAGTCAATGAAATCATAACAAGTTACATAAAGACAAAAATTCATAATGCGATTTCAAGAATCAAATTGCATTGTAAGGACAATGCGACTCACTAATCTCAACATGGACACCTGTGAGCCAAACATGTTCGATCTAGACCTCTTAGCTTGTCACTCACTCTCACCCTGATATGAACCTAACACCTAAGTACCTAACAACAGATCAAAGAAATACCGAACCATTGTCTTACTCGAAAATACAAATAAGAAAATAAAAAATAACAACTAGAGCTAGTATATATATAGTCCAATATCAATGGAAAATAGTAAATTGTAGTTGGAAGCTAAGAAGGTGGGTGAGTTAAAAACCTAAACCGGCCTGAAACCTAGAGCTCGCTAACTTTGTCATAATGAATGTATGAAATGTGTAAAAGTAAAAATGATACGAGTATATGCTTAAATATGTATTTTCATGTCTAAATTATTTATTTATATCTTAAAAATGAAGAGTGAAGAGAAATACAAAGTGTATATATATATATATTTGTTTCTATATTTATTTATTTATTTATTTATTTATTTATTTATTTATTTATGTTGTTCGGTGTTTGGTTCGGTTTACGTTTTTTCCGTTTTAAACCAAACCAAACCAAAGTACCAAACTATTCGATTTGAGCAAATGTTTACCGAACGGTTTACTTAAGTAAACTCAAACCAAACCAAATCAAACCACCAATTTTAATAATATATGAATGTTTTTTTGAGTTTCTTTAGTTCGGTTTGGTTTCGTTCGGTTTTTATCGGTTTCAATTTTGTTCAGTTTAATACGATTTGGAAGAAATAGTACCAAACTAAAACCAAATTGCATACGGTCCGGTTTTCGTTCGATTTAGTTCAATTTGTTACGTTTCAGTTAAACCAAACCGTTATGCCAGGCCTACCATAAATGTTGCTAACCACAAGTTACGAGTAGACATGGGGACTTGACATTTCAATCTTGTGGCATAGAAGTGGAGGAACTTCAATTACTGGTTCAATGGAAGTGCTTCTGGGAAGCAGAAGCTCCTCTTCACCACCACCGCGTCGCTTTCAATTGCTCATCAACAACTATGTGCCCGGACGAAGTTCTATTGCAGTTTCCCGGGTTCACACCTATTCTGCTTTTCATATTTGTTCCAAATTCCCAATCCAGAAACATTGATTTAATTGAAATATAGTTCTATATGTCGAAAATTTCCATCATGACAAAATAAAAAATCGATTCAATTAAGATGAAGGTATTACCTTTAGATTGATAATTCATCACTCTGCAAAAATTAGAATTAGGATTGATTTAAAGAAGACGTTAAAGAGAGAGTTATTCGTCGTTGAATGCAAATTTTAAATAAAGCTCGAATTTTTCAGGTGATGTTGTGGGGTTCTGTGCATATTAGTGGCAATGAAACTAGATTGTGTACTCAAACTAGTAATACTAGGTTGTTCTTAATGAAAAATGGTTGCATTCGTGAAGTGAGGAGGAACTCAAACAATCTCAGGAAAGTTGCAAAGTATTCTGAAATATTTAGTCCTCTTCCTGATCTGTTTTTTCGGGTTGCTGTTGGGGCTATGGCAGCAATGGCAGTCAGTACAGCTGCTTATAGTATCCCTACTTGTAAGTATGTTCACTGTTTTTAAAATAAAACCATATCTATGTATTTATATATGCAAATATTTATTAGATGAAAAAAAACATATCTTAGTTTTCCCTTTTTCAAATTCGTACTTAGAGGAATTAATTACAAGGCCTCAATATCTTAAGTCGTCACATCTACCAGTGGCTCTCACTGAAGAAAATCAGCTCTTCTTAGAGGCATGGAAAACAATTGACCGTGCATATGTTGACAAAAGCTTCAATGGGCAGAGTTGGTTTAGATATCGAGAAAATGCTCTTCGCAATGAACCAATGAACAATCGAGAAGAGACATGTATGCCTTTTTCTACTTTATGGGTATTAATAAGCATACATATGCCATGTTTGATTAATTAATATATGAAATTTTATCATGCATCAGTTTGCTTTGATTCCTCGGTAGCTTTATATAGTCTCCAATAAAAAGCTAGAGTCTTGCTTTGTTCTTTGGTTAGAAGTGTTATTTCGTGCTTACAGATGCAGCAATACGGAACATGATTGCCACTTTGGATGACCCTTTCACTCGTTTTCTAGAGCCTGAAAAGTTCAAGAGTTTGAGGGTATGGGGCTAGTATTCTCACAAATTTCATATTTGTAACTTTTATATCACACTCAAATTAGTGCATATTCTGTACCCTGTAGAGATTATATTTTAAAGAGTGATTATATCTTTAACACGTTCTCACTAAAGAGTGATATATTAATACATGGTGCTTGAAGGCAGTCGGGCACTCAGAGTGAACTGACAGGAGTGGGAATTTCAATTGGTTATCTGACCACAAGTAGTGACTCAGCTCCTGGGCTAATGGTGATCTCGGCTTCTCCAGGAGGCCCTGCAAATAGGGCGGACATTTCAGCTGGGGATGTTATCCTTGCAATTGATAATATTAGTACAGAAAGCATGGATATATATGATGCGGCAGAGCATTTACAGTAAGTTTCATATCATTTTCTGTCCCTATCACTGGATACTCATTTTATTTTCAGCAAGACAGTAACTCCATTTCAAGTAACGGTCCATTAACATAAAATTTTGGCTTTGAAGGCGTTTTTTATATGAATCGATAAACATGCTCCTATAAAGTTCTATGTATCAAAAGTAACAAGTTAAAGTGAAATGAATATTGAGAGCAACCTAGTCCTTTTATTATGTTAAACACTTGATTTGCCAAATGAATAGTTTGTAAAAACTTTATTTTAAGTAATGGACAGTTAGGTAACGCAGGGAGTATATACTATATAACTTCAGAGGCGAATATCCTTAACAAAACAGATGCAATACACTGTTGTTGAATATAAACCCACAGCCATGGAGGCTTCTATTACTAGATTATGCATCAAATACAGAAGACTTCAGGAAAGCATATAAACACTCCTGGAAGCTATGTTGTGCTATTTGATTTAAACATCTAAAGTTCTTAATTTTTAAGGTTCCAAAAGTTTAATGCAATTGAGTTGCATTTCAGAACTGAATTGAAGCTTGAAATAACTTTTGTCCCGTAAAAGGCATATTATGTGTGCGTATTATGTGTTTCTTTCTTTTACCTTTTATGCTAGTGTTGTACTATTATATTGATAAGTGAAATCAAGCTAATCCGTTCCTTTCATGTGGATTTGATAATCATATCTTGCACTTATTCAGGGGACCTGAAGGAACTGAGGTCAAACTAACTGTACAACGAGGATCTCAAATGAGAAACCTGTCTTTAATGTAGGAGCATCTTTTTTATGCCTTGTGATAATGTTCTCTTTGAGCTTCACTTTCTTGTTTTTTCCCCATTAATAGGACTTCTTATGTAACTTTATTGGTGATCTATCTACTAAGTTACTTATATATTTCTACTATGTTTACTTTGAAATGTTTCCAAGATTTTTTATATACCTCAATAATTTGTATGTAACTGCATACTTATAAGATACTTCGTACAACCTACCCGCTGCTATCCAGCCGAGAGAAAGTTATACTGAATCCTGTGAAATCAAGAGTCTGCAAGGTATCCGGTTCTGGTGAGGATTCTTTGCAGGTTGGATATATCAAACTAACCACATTCAACCAAAATGCCTCAGGTAGTCACATCTCAATCTCTCCCTTTTACATCATCATCATCGTCATTACCCCAGTGCCACAAAGGCTCCCACCTTCGGTGGGGTAACGGGGGTCGGATGTACGCAGCCTTACCCCTATACTAAAGCACATAGAGACTGTTTACGGATGACCCATAGTGAGAATCGCGTCGAAAATTGCATGGACTGACTGCTGCTTCATAACAAAGAAGCACGAATAATTCAGTGAGCCATTTTGCTTTATTCCATCATATTCCCAAACCAAAAAAAGTGAGTCTTTGGCTCCATTGCAAATGATGGAAAATCTCTCTCTTTTACATGCAAATCTAAATTAAATCCTAAACTGAGACCATATGATCTGTAATGTGCATAAATATCAGAATCTCTATGGTTATTCTTATCTCTTAACAGACTACTGCTCATTTCCTCTCTGGTCCAAGGTTTGCAAATTTTTTTTTACCTTTTTTTATTTATTTATCGGAATCCATATTTCCTCAAATCATTAGGCACTGTGCGAGATGCAGTTGAAACACTGAGGAGAAACAACGTGAAGGCCTTTGTCTTAGACCTTCGAGATAATAAGTGGCCTTCTTTCTTTCATTTCTATTATTCTTATTTGAAAGAGTTTGTTTCTGGAATCTGAAACACTACATTTGATGCAGTGGTGGTCTATTCCCTGAAGGAGTTGAGGTCGCCAAGATTTGGTAAGCCATTTCAAATTATATACCCATCTTACCCGCTCTGTTGTTCATGTATTTCTTCTTTAAGTTATGAGACTTATGACTACATGTTATTAGCCCTATTCCGATTGATATATATTCAAAGCAGTTTCTTAATGATAATATGGTTCTCCAATTGGTCCTTATGTAGATCTCTGTGCTTTATGATGATGCTAGTATATAAGTGTTATTCTTTTAGATTTAAAATGTTAATAATACCGTTTACATATTTTCTTTTATGCTCAGTTGATTTACATCCCTAAGTAAGATGACTTACACTAGGCCCATAAAAATCAGTGTTTTCCGTGATATCTTGTTTTGATACTAAAAGAAACTGTCAATATTGTATGCTATTACAGGCTGGACAAGGGTGTGATTGTGTATATTTGCGATAGCCGGGGAGTTCGAGATATTTATGACACAGATGGAACTGATGCAATAGCAGCTTCAGAACCCCTTGTTGTGCTGGTATGTCAACATTTTTCTTGAGGAATTGTAAAATGAAAACAAAAAGATCCCCTAAAAGAAGAATCTTTTGTCTTCCTCCTATGGCGTTTGTCAAATTGAGGACTTTATCTTTCAAACTATGTTATTGCTGGGACCTGATTTTTCCTGGTGTCTGCTCTCTTTTTGGCAAAATTCTATGCAGGTAAACAAAGGAACTGCAAGTGCAAGTGAGATTTTGGCTGGGGCCTTGAAGGATAACAAACGTGCTGTGCTGCTTGGGGAACCAACTTACGGAAAGGGGTAATGAGTTTGCTTTTTCTTCCTTGTAAATGTTACTTTATACCCTCTGGAAGTAGTGAAACAAAAGTTGTTCACAAGTTTATTTTTGTATTCAGCAAGATTCAGTCAGTTTTTAAACTGTCTGATGGATCTGGTTTGGTTGTCACGGTTGCTCGCTATGAGACGCCTGCTCATACAGACATTGACAAGGTCTCTATATCTCTCTCTGCCTGTTTGTCTTATTTTATGACATTAAATACACAGAACTACTAAAACAAATGTATGTTATATGTAGGTTGGCGTGCTTCCGGACCATTCTTTACCTGCATCATTCCCTAAGGATGACGAGAGCTTATGTGGCTGCCTCCAGAATCCTGCCTCTTCTTGTCACCTGGGTACAGCTGAATTATTTTTAAGGTCACAATAATCTAAAAGAAAGAAACTGAAATACATTGTAAAAGTTTATTTCTTTTGAAATAAACCATCAATTCTTTTGACAAAATTTCCCATTTGCGAAAGGTATCACTAGTGTGTAATATTTCAAACTTTCACACCATGTTTATGGGTAACTGATTCGTACTGATGAAAAGGGAAAATGCCAGTGTCAATGTTGAAAATAGTTGAATACCTATATTCTATTATTCTGATAAGTGACTATTTTATTAGATTGATTTGTTTACTTTTAGTATATATGATGGGTCTCATATACTCCGTATGTCTCAAGAATAAACATTACGGAGTATATCAGTATTTATTCATTAATCCAAGAGTGAGCTATGTTATGACTTATGAATCGAAACTGAATTATTGAGCATCATGAAGGCCTTTTGGCCTGTATATTACTATTACTATAAAAAAAGACAAGACAAAAATGTGACATTTTTTTCAAAATTCCAAAAATGTAACCAAACATCACAATTAAACCCTACAGTGCAAAGTGACTCTGCCGTCACACTGACCTGCCGCCACAATGACCCGCCGCCACAGTGACTCCGGCTAGTGACTGATGTCGCCATCCTCCAGTCACTGTCGTCCCTCGGCCAGTGACTGTCGCTCCCCTGGCCAGTGACTGCCGCTCCCCTGGCAGTGATTGCCGCCCTTCAGCCAGTGATTGCCGCCCCTAGCCGGTGGCTGCCGCCATCCGCTCCTTCCATTGAACTGCCCAACACCACTATCACCGCCATTGCTCACCCCACACCACAGTCGGTGCACCACCCACAAGCCCCACCCCGACCTGCCCAACCCCCTCCCCAACCTTACCACCCCTTCCCTGACCTTAGCAGCCCCCTCCACAACCATCCCAGCCCCTCCCCCTAGCCCCCTGCACCGTCGACCCCAATCAGGCCATCACACAATGCCGCCCACTACCCTGCTCCCCTGCCAACCCCTGTCCTCCCCCAGGCCTCTCTGATCAGTTAACACCATCATAGGCTCCGGCGTGACCAGTCCCCTCCACCAACCTCGCCCCAAGCCAGGCCCCAACACCCTTTCCAGCCACGCCCAGCAAGGATGCACCCAGCCACACCCTACCCTCAAGCCTCACCCCAGCCACGATCTCAGATCTGAAAATAAGAAGGAAAACCCCCCAAATTTGATCTGGAATTGCGGTGATTTGCGGTCAAAAAAGGAGAAGAAGAAGAAGAAGAATAAAGGAAGATCGGCAAGGCACATCCCTAGCTCGAGGTTCGTCAGCCTTCTTCAGAGAGGCGGATCGGCGGAGATGCAACAGAGGGATTGTGAGGCTCAGGCAGGCGGATCGGCGGAGAGAAGGCGCCATGGCCGTGCGAAGAGAAGAGACTACCTCAACCTTGTGCAGAAATGAAGGAAGCCCACTGTTAGGTCCCCTAGAGTTTGATGATTAATATGTTATTGTTTTGATGATGTTACCCCTTTTTATTATCCCTATATTATACTAGTATCTCTTGTACTTGTTCTATTATGTTTATTGTAATGTGCTATCATTAGTGATTAAATACTCATAAAAAGCAAAGAGTACTAAAAGAGAAGAAACATACCAAAAACAAAAAGAAAAGAATAAAAAAGAAAGGGTCCGAAAAAGAGTTAACTTGTATTCATTGTAAAGGAAGCCAACTGAAAAACAGGATTTCAGCAGCCTACTGAAATTGGCAGCCGACTGAAATTCTAGTTTTCCAGTTAGCTCATCTAAAATAAACTAACTCTTCTATTAGCACAAAATCAATTAAACAAAATACCAACTTGCAGTCAAAATGACAAAAAGATTAAAGTAATTTTTATGAGAAATGTTTACCACCTTATGAAAATCTCTTATAAAGTTATTTTACTAAAAGCAACTATTCTTATTGGTAAGGAAGCATTGAACAACATTCAGCTTTTATACTAAATTTCTACGCGTAAAAGAAATAAAGATAAATCATCTTTATCTATGCATTGAAACGATGAAACAAGTTGAGTGAAGATATTTGATCCGTGTCACAAGAAGACAAAAATCAAATCATGCTGCCTCAGTCAAGTGGAACAAGCAAGTAGATCAAACAACGGTCAAGATTGAGCTCCTCAGTCAATGGTGGAGATTCAACAACAAGTCTATAAATACAAAAGGAGCGTGGGAAGACCAAATGTGGTAAATCGAGAGGAGCCAAGTGGAATAGAAGGGAATCAAGTTTTACAAGCACACATATGTACTAGAATTTTAGCTATTTGCTGCTCCTCATTTGCTGCAATCCTAAGCCAAACCGCAGCAATTATTAGATGCATCCAGCCAGCTGATTCTCCTTCACTACTTCGGCAGTTCGGCTACCACCCCACTCATCTAATGCTCTTAGATTAGCTATAATTCATACAAACCTATAGAGCTTAGATTAGTTGGTAGTTTAGTTTTCACCCATGTAAACTAGACTAGTGTTAGACATTCTGGAGGGCTTTGTGTTCAAATCCAGAAGGTGAGAAAGGGGCAAGGACATGAGTAGCTCTTGGTGAGTCAATGCCATTAGTGAAAAACCTTGGGAGGACTGAGTAGCTAGCTTGGAATGGTGTTCAAATTTCTTGTGAAAAACCTCACAATCTACGCCTAGGCCAAGGGTAGATTGGACACTAAATGTAATGAGATATTCATTTAGTGGAAATCCATCTGAAATAGGTTGGGACTGGATGTAAAAGGATTACACCACCTCTGAACCAGGATATATCTTGTGTCACCTTTTATATTCTGCTCCCAACATACACTTCAGTTCTCACTCACCTTCACAACTTCACAGCAAAACAGCTTGGTCACTAAAACTGTCTAGTGAACTGTGAACCTGTCCATCAAAGTGATCTATTTCTATAGGTCTAAATCTTGGTTACTTATGTGTTAAAACATATTCTAAAGCCTACCATTGTGTTAGAATATAGTTCATTGTTATACCTTAACCTTTGAAGCAGCAGCTCATTTCGGCAGCCTGCTCCTAAAGGTTTTGGCAGTCTGCTCCCAATTCTAGCAGCCATCTCCTTTAGGTTTTGCAGCTAGCTCCTTGAGTCAGCTGATTCTGACAAACACATTTGAACGTTGTTTCATCCATCTCCTCACAACTAAAATGGTCATAACCTTTTTTTCTATAAAGTGTCACACTCTTGAGGTCAAGACTTCCACTGTATGTTTCAATATCTCCAAAAAGATATTGGAACTCATTCTGTTAGAGGAAAAGGGGTTGGAAAATGAAAAGATTTAAAATTCTATTCACCCCCCCCCAGACTTTTACCTCACTTAGGACCCATCAACCACGCCATGGCCGGTGGTTTATGGCGGCAGAGAGAAGTCTCGTGGTTGTGCTGTGTGTAGGGAGATGTGTTTGTGCGGAGAGAGACGTGCGGAGAGAAGCCTAAGTCACATTTTTGGAAAAAGAAAAAAGAGTTATATTTCTGGAATTTGAAAAGCCAAATGTCATAAACGGGCCATTATTCCCATCATGAATATATTTATATGATTGATATATTTCCACTTACAAGTTACAAGTGTAAGATACTTTATACCAGTATATAATTAGGTTTTCAAACATATTTTGTCTTGTTATTGATTGAGTGACACTACTAGAAAAGGCATGTTTTGCAACGGAACCGTGCAACAGACTTGTATCTGTTGCAATAATGCAATTACATTCGCAACGGAATATGATGTAGTTGCATTATAGCAATAGATATTGCAACGAAAAATAAATTTATTGCAAATGTGGCCGAGAAAGGGAGGGAAAATATATTGCAACAAATTTTGCAATGGAAAAATAATACTCTTGCAATAATTGCAAGAGAAATTTCAATGTCATATCACTTTGTTGCATAGGTATGGATTTGCAACAGATTTGCAACGGAGAAATAGACCATTGCAAAGACTCCCTTGCAACGAATTTGTACTGCAACGGCAATTTGCAATGGAGTCAATTCCGTTGCAATGTTTTTGAAAAAATATTAACTTTTTATATATTATAAAATATCAACTTTATATTGTGATTACTATGAAAGGTATAAATAATCATGAATTTGCAATGCAAATCATATGGCAACAAAAACTTCCCGTTTTCTAAGTACGTCGTCATGACCAAACTTAACCAGTTCAGATCCGGTTTAAGTATGTTTTTACTTGGACTGAATTTTTGTTGGTCTAGTCTCTTCTGTTATGATTTGATCTGGTCTAGTATGAACTGATCTTGTCTGATCTGTTAAATTTCTAGTCTCTGGTATTTTATACGAGGAAAATTAGCTATTGTCATTTGAAGATAATTAATAGCCCATTTGGCGAGCATGTTAAAACCTCCAAGTCTCTAACCAAAGTCGTAGGAAATACATATATACACAGCAACAACGAGCTACTGTACTTCTATGAACTACATACTCCGTATTTCTTATACTTCATGTATCGGAATACTACAAGAAAAAAAGAAAAATGTTAATGATTTACACCTCCCTCGTGTATATAAATGTATAAAAGGGGAAAAAATTAAAAGGATTTTGCAACCAGCTTTTGGGTGTTCAAAATTTTTACCACTAAGATATTGCATAAAAAAAATATGACATCAATTTTTAACATGTATTTTTGTATTTTGTATTTTCAAAATTTTGAATGTTCACATGAACACTCTTGAACAAAGCAGATCTGTCACCCCTGGAACCAAGTATATGGCAATATGTCTGGCTTCTATCTAGCTACACTATGAGTGTTTGTTTGTAACTATGACATAAATTGTTCCCGTTTATTCGTATGTTAATTAGTTAATGTTAAGAGCTAGGGCTCAATTCTAAAAGGTAAACCTGATAGGATGAGCCTATATCTTATTATAGCACTTTATTACTTCAAAATTTTCCGGTGTGAGACTTCAACATTCCCCCTCCCAGCCATACGCTTCGTCTAGATCATGCCGTCATTCATTTTATCGTTGGTTTGTCCTTGTTATTTTTTTTAATCACATTTACATTTTTTATAGGGGACCCCCACCATGATTATGGATCAGTTTTGGCTCTGATATCACGTTAAAATTTTGGATCTATCCTAAAAGGTCGACTTGATAGTAAAATATGTAGCAAAGATCTTAATATAACACTTTATTACTTCACAATTTTCTGGTACAAGGCTAAATTCTAAAAATTTAAACAGACAGAAAGAGAAAAAAAAATCAAATTTGTGGACGCAAAAATAATTATTCGGTGCATTTACATATCAATGATTTAAGAAACCACGTTCATAAGGATATACGGACTTACGGAGTATGTTTTCACGAATTGGGTCAATGATTTATGTTTTGATTTTTTTAAATTAACCCATTCGGAATTGGGTTTTCCAAATACATTTTTAAATTCCAAAAATTTGTGTGTAGCTGACCATTGTGTCTAAACTAACGGATATAAGGATTGAGAGATATATTTTACGGAATATTAGACTATAGGGAAATGATCTGGTCAGGCGCGCCTGATAGATATCCCTACAGACAAGTTCATTTGAGGAACTTCCAGGTCGATTTTTTTGATAAATTTTGTGAGGATGTTCTGTTAAATTTAAGGAAATGAATGATAGAAGTAAGAGATATTATTGAGAGCATAAAACTTCATGTAGAGAAGAATGTTTCGTAAGTACTTCTTTCCATGCATGCATGTTACATATATAGTGCAATGAGTAAATGTAATAATACAAAGAAAATAAGATATGGGCCATGAGAACTATGCACCCACGTACAAATGCTTAATAGTAAGGGAACATCACACACTATGGAAATATATTATGGGACCAATACTCTAGTTGGAATATGAAATTCACCCTGTGTATTCCATTTACGAATATCCCTATAAATAGGATTATAAGCATGCGCGATACAATTGAGATAGAATAGTTATCTACGTAATGTTAGGGATGGTCAAACTATAATCTAGTCTAGGTTCATTGTACACTAAAGCTACGCTAGGCATAAGTATCGGTAACAACCCAGTGGATTTACATGACTAGTATTATTATATACTACCTCCGTCCCAGGGACAAGTTCCCAATTTCCTTTTTTGGCAGTCCCAACAAGAAGTTCCCATTTCCCTAAATGGAAAGTTATTCTACATCAAAACAGTGCCAAACAATGCAAAACAGTGCAAAACAGTGTTGAAACAGTGCCAAACAGTGTCGAAACAGTGCCAAACAGTAAAATTTACCCCCCAGTAACTTTATTTCCTTAATATGTGTGAAAGTCAACCCGGGAACTTCTCCCTGGGATGGAGGGAGTACAAATTAATATAATAATAGGATAATATTATGATAGTGCCGTGTAGGATTAATATGGCTTGCATGGGATAACTGCTAACATGCCCCCGCAGTCAAAGCGGGAGGCCCACGGACGCTGAGACTGGTCCGGAAATCATCAAACAGAAGACGAGGCAGTCCTTTGGTAAAAATGTCTGCAAACTGATGTCGGGATGGAATATGAAGAACACGAACTTCACCACGAGCAACTTTCTCCCGAACAAAATGTATATCCATTTCAATGTGTTTGGTGCGCCGATGCTGAACCGGATTGCCAGTCATGTATATGGAACTAATATTGTCACAGTATACAATAGTGGCACGATGCAAGGGACGTCGTAGTTCAAGTAACAAGTTGCGGAGCCAACATGTTTTGGCCACTACATTGGCCACACCACGATATTCAGCTTCAGCGCTAGAACGAGACAGAGTTGGTTGTCGTTTGGAAGACCAAGAAATGAGATTATCTCCCAAAAACACACAATAGCCAGAAGTGGACCGCCGAGTGTCTGGGCATCCACCCCAATCGACATCCGTGTAAGAGACTAGTTCCAGGAGAGAAGAGGGACGCAGATGTAGACCGAAGTGCATAGTGCCATGAATATACCGAAGCACCCGTTTAAGTGCCAGAAAATGTGGTTCCCGTGGGTCATGCATGAATAAACAAAGTTGTTGGACGGCGTAAGAGATATCCGGCCGGGTAAATGTAAGGTATTGTATTGCACCGGCTAGGCTGCGATAGAGTGTAGGATTAGTGACCGGTGGGCCGGCCGCAGCACTGAGCTTTGAGTGAGCGTCAACCGGAGTACTCACGGGGTTGCAATCTGCCATACCTGCACGACGGAGTATATCTCGGACATATGAAGATTGGGAGAGGAAGAGACCCGAAGAATGCTGTTGAACCGAGATTCCCAAGAAATAGGTTAAGGGGCCAAGGTCCGTCATAGAAAATTCAGCTGCTAGTTGAGTGATGATGCTCTGCCGGAAAGTGTCCGATGATGCTGTGAGAATGATATCATCTACGTACAGGAGGATATATGCTGTGTCAGGACCCTTATGGTAGATGAAAAGGGAGTGATCACACGTACTGTGAGAGAAACCAAGAGTAGAAAGGTGGGAAGCAAACGGATGGTACCAAGCCCGAGGGGCTTGTTTGAGACCATATAAAGATTTTAAGAGCCGGCAAACATGGTGTGGGTGAGAATGATCACGATAGCCCGGAGGTTGATGCATATATACAGTTTCCTCCAAGTGACCATGCAAAAAAGCATTCTTAACATCGAGTTGATGAAGGGGCCAAGAATGAAATAATGCAATGCTGAGAACCAAACGAATAGTGACCGGCTTAACAACCGGGCTGAACGTTTCGTCACAATCGACCCCAACCTGTTGAGAGTTGCCATTAACAACGAGCCGAGCTTTGTGACGCTCCAATACACCGTCAGACCTGTATTTATGTTTAAACAACCACATACATCTAATAATGTTGGCGTTAGTTGGACGGGGAACTAACTCCCAAGTCTCATTTTTAATTAGAGCACTAAACTCATCATCCATGGCGGCCTTCCAGTTAGGGTCCTGTAGGGCGATAATAGGCGAACGGGGTAAGGGAGAAGGGGTGGAAGACGTGGATAAATTGTATATATGCCTCCGTTTAAATATCCCTGCACGACTACGAGTCTGCATGGGATGGGAAGACGTCGGGTTGCATGGATTTTGTGGGGTGGGGGGGGAATATGGGTAGTGGCCGGGATAGTATTTGTGATGGGAGGGGATGGATGATTAAATGGGTTGACATGTGGCGAACTAGGAGGGGAATTAGTGGCAGGAGGTGTAGGAGGTGTGGAAGTGTGGTTATGGGGAATGTGGGTGCTGGCCGAGGAGTTGTCAGAAGGTGAGGGTGTAGATAGGGTTGGAAGAATACGGTATATAGGATGTGTGTCACTATCTAGAGATTGATAGGAATTATTGTGAGGTGAGGGGAAATTTTTAAATGGGAAAACACTTTCATCGAAAGTTACATGCCGGGAGATGATGATTTGGTTGGTGTGAATATTGAGGCACTTATAACCTTTGTGGTTGATGGGGTAACCAATAAAAACACACGGTGTTGACCGGGCTTGAAGTTTATGGATAGTGACAGAGGGATGGTGAGGGAAACAGAGGCAACCGAAAATTCTAAGATGATCATATTTCGGTTGTTGGTGGTATAGGAGGTGAGCGGGGGGTGAGGAAATTCAGAGGTTTGGACGGTAAGATATTATGTAGGTAAGAGGCCATATGAACGGCGTGAGGCCAAAAGGAAGCGGGAACAGAAGCATGAAGTAGTATAGTACGTGCAATATTATTAATAGTGCGTATATATCGTTCAGCTGTACCATTTTGTGGGGACGTATAAGGGCAAGAGAATCGAAAATGAAGACCATGTTTTTGTCCATATGTACGAAAAGCAGAATTATCAAATTTTTTCCCATTGTCACATTGGAAAATTTTAATGTTCCGTTCAAATTGTGTACGAACATAAATATGAAAATTGACAAATGTAGAAAATGTTTGAGATTTGGAGTTTAAGGGAAAAACCCAAACAAATTTAGTATAATCATCAATAAATATTAAATAATATCGATGACTAGTAGAACTAAGAACAGGAGATGTCCATATATCACTGTGAATGATTTCAAAAGGAAACTGGGTACGAGATTGGGAAGGGGAAAATGGCAATTTTGTGTGTTTGCCAAGTTGACATGAAGTACATATGGATTTATTTAAATGCGTACAAGGAATATTTTTATTTGTTCTAAGAAAACTAAAAATGGGATCCCCGGGGTGCCCTAGCCGATGATGCCAAGTGGCAGCCGAGGTACTGAGAAGAGCGGAGTGTGGAGAGCTTGAAATTGAAGGCTGGATAGGATATAGGTCCCCCGTACTGTTACACCGCATTAGAATTGTGCCCGTTCTGAGATCCTTCACAGAAAAACCAACAGGGTCAAATTCAACAGAAACGGAATTATCAGTAGAGAAACGACGAACAGATATAAGATTTTTAATGAGAGACGAGGCATGTAGGACATTTTGGAGATGTAGTGGGGGTGGGGGGCGGTAAAGTAGTCGCACCCAGACCGGAAATAGGAATTGTGTTGCCATTACCTACCATGATGAATTGTTTAGTACCTAAATTAGAAAGAGAATTGAGAGTACCTGAATCGGAGGTCATATGCGATGTCGCCCCGGTATCCATGTACCAATTGTTGTCCGGAGGAGTAAGTGTCATGGTGTGCATGGCACTGTTCATGTCCGTGAAAGTAGAAGATGGACCCGAAATGTGTGCCTGTGGTGGACGTGCACCAAGTATACCAGCACCTGGATGTGGGCGAGGAGAAGGTTGACCATTCCAGGGGGTTGACGGATAGGGACATGGGGGCATGGCCCATGGTGAAGGCGGCAGCCAATAGGCCCACGGTGGTGGAGACGTCCAAGCATTAGGAGGTTGGTCGGGCCGCGGTGAACCACGCCCGCCACGCCCGCGTCTGGCAGAAGAAGAACCACGACCTCCTTGGGTGGCTTGGTTGGGACGGGGAGGAGTAGATGCCGAGCTATGGAGAAGGGCACTGGCAGAAGGGGAGCCGAGTTGATGCACCTTCCGGGTTTCATCATGAATTATCATTGATCGGGCATTCTGAAAAGTGGGCAACGGGACAGTCTGTTGAATGAGAGAAGCAATCGTATCGTACTGTGCGGGGAGGCCGTTGACTAGTCGAAGAACCAGTCGGTCATTGGAGACCGTAGCGCCAACATTGTGCAACTGGTTTGCCAATGTCTTGAGAGAACGGCAGTAGGCAGAAACATTTGGAAAATTTTCCAAACGTGTGTTTGAAAACAGATTCTCCAAGTGCACCGCCCGGGAATGTTTATTGTCGAGAAAGATATCGGCAAGGCGTTCCCAAGCCTCTTGCGCAGTGGCGTCGGGTTCAATGATAGTGTGGAGGAGATTGTGAGATATTGTACCGTATATCCACTGGAGGACGACAGCGTCCAATCGGGTCCACAGGGCGGCAGCCTCGGCCTTGGCAGCGGCCTGAGCAAGAACGGCATCGGGAGATGCGTCTGTAGTAGAAGATGATGGAGTGGCATCGGTAGAGTCACCGGGGGGGATGATGTGATCGAGAACTTGATATGCGCGAGCGGTAATTTTGAACAATTCCGCCCACGAGGAGTACTCAACGTTCTCGAGGTCAAGAGAGATTGGAATAAAATTCTTAATGTTGGAGATAGCGAGAGCGGGGTGAAACACGGAAGCTTTGGTGGTAGCCATTGAAGAGAAAAAAAAGAGCTACTGATACCAAGTTGGAATATGAAATTCACCCTGTGTATTCCATTTACGAATATCACTATAAATAGGATTACAAGCATGCGCGATACAATTGAGATAGAATAGTTATCTACGTAATGTTAGGGATGGTCAAACTATAATCTAGTCTAGGTTCATTGTACACTAAAGCTACGCTAGGCATAAGTATCGGTAACAACCCAGTGGATTTACATGACTAGTATTATTATATACAAATTAATATAATAATAGGATAATATTATGATAGTGCCGTGTAGGATTAATATGGCTTGCATGGGATAACTGCTAACAACTCTTAATAATCCCCCTCAAGGTGGCGTGTGAAGATTACGAACACCCAACTTGCTTCTAAGAAACTGGAAACGATCAGTGCCAATAGCTTCAGTAAAAATATCAGCAATTTGGTGTGTTGTGGAGATGCAACATGGTTGGATTTCTCCGCTTGCCACACGTTCACGAACAAAATAACAGTCCATTTCCACATGCTTGGTGCGTTCATGAGAAACAGGGTTGAGTGCAATATGTCGTGCTGCTTGATTGTCACAAAAAAGAGATGTGGGGCCAGACTGAGGAACTGTGAGATCTTGAAGTAACCATCGCAACCATAAAATTTCACTAACTGTGACAGCCATGGCACGATATTCTGCTTCTACGGAAGAACGAGAAACAACAGATTGTTTCTTTGTTCTCCAAGAGACTGGTGAGTTGCCAAGAGTGATAAAATATCCAGTGCTAGAGCGACGTGTGTAAGAGCATCCTGCCCGTCCGCATCACAATAGCCCTTTAAAGAGAGATCGGTGTCTGCCGATAAGAAAATACCCTGCCCCGGGGTCTGTTTCAAATAGCGTAGAACACGCACGGCGGCGTCAAAGTGAGACTGGCACGGCTTGCTGAGGAATTGGCTAAGTTGACTGACAGAAAAGACGATGTCGGGACGAGTTACTGTGAGGTACAATAAACGCCCCACCAATCGACGGTATGTGGAAGCGTCAACTTGTGGGCTATCATCATCAGGTCGAAGTTTCAAATTCTGTTCCATGGGGAACGAACTAGGACGACTTCCAAGGAGGCCGCTCTCTTCTAGTATGTCGAGCGTATATTTGCGTTGACTTAGTACAAAACCCTCGGGAGAATGAGCGACCTCGATTCCGAGAAAATATTTTAGTGTACCCAAATCTTTGATGCTAAACTGGTCATTCAAGTATCCTTTAATTTTGTTGATATGAGACACATCATTTCCGGCTAGGATGACATCATCTACGTAGATTAGGGCAAAAGTGAGGGTCCGTCCTTGTTAAAATATGAACAAGGAGTGGTCCGCCCGTGATTGGTGAAATCCGATTTTGAGAAGTGATTGAGTAAACTTGTGATACCAATTACGAGATGCTTGACGTAAACCATAGAGAGATTTTTGGAACTTGCAAACACGGGTGTCACCAACTTTGGTAAATCCTTGGGGAATGCGCGTATAAACATCCTCGGAGAGATCTCCGTGTAGAAATGCGTTGTTGACGTCTAATTGATGCACCTCCCAATTGCGTTTAGCCGCAACGGCTAGCAAACATCTTACAGTGACTAGTTTAGCAACTGGAGCAAAGGTTTCGTGAAAATCGATTTCTTCGACTTGTGTGAATCCTTTTGCAACCAATCTAGCTTTGTATCGTTCCACATCGCCATTAGGTTTATATTTGATTTTATAGACCCATTTAGAATCTACTGTTTTCTTTCCTGGCGGCAATTGGACCAACTTCCACGTGCCGTTTTCTTCTAAGGCACTGATCTCCCTTCGCATGGCCTCCTTCCACATGGGATCTAATATGGAATGCGAAAAATGTTTGGGCTCATCACGAGAAGTGATGGCCGTAAGAAAAGCTTTGTGCTTAGTAGAAAACCTTTCATAACTAATAAAGTTAGAAATTGGATGTACGGTCGGGTCGGCCTGATTGTTGACTACGTGTGAATGATCCAGAGAGGGCAGTAGGTCAACATCAAATTCGTCTAGGTGCTTGGGTATCTTCTGAATTCTGTTACATTTTCTTATCTCACCCGCGTCTAGAATGGGTGTAGCTGGACAGGTCAGATCAGTTGATTCAAGTCTGGATTGTTGACTTGAATTTTGTCCCCTTTCTGATCCATTTAAAATATCACTCATATTTTCTGGTGAATGGAGCAGTGTATGTGGCCACATGTCTGTCCCGCGTGTGTCCAAGTCTGTCCGTGAGAGAGAGTCCAAATATTGCTCAGCAGGTAAGAGTTGGCGGACGATTGGCCTCACACCTGCATCTGGACCGTCCTTGCTCCTGCTACAGTCTGTCCGTGAGATGTGTTGTTGCCTGGTGGGTGAGAGGTGACACATGGTTGGTACTGTACCTGAGCTGCCCTCACCCATGCTGCCACGCCTGCAAGCTGGAGTGCAGCTGTCCTGTGGCCGATTGGCAGGTTGGTGACCGAGGGTGACATCCAGGCCCTCGGTAGGCTCTACGCTTGCTGAAGATGAATTCCAAGACTTTTGTGTGGTTCTGGTATGGTGCTCATCAGATGATGGCATTTTGGTGGGGGGCACGACTTGTTGGTACACTCGGTCAATAATCATCCCAAAATCAAGTCCTTCCTGATCAACCTTCTTGAATGGAAATTCACCCTCAATAAACGTGACATCTCGAGAAGTGTATATGTTCTGTTTTTGCAAATCAAAAACTCTGTAAGCTTTCTGACCATGAGGGTATCCAAGGAATATGCAAGGGCTCCCCCTTTCACTAAATTTATCTTTGCGTTTATTGTTATGGGCATACACCAAACACCCAAAAACGCGTAAATGATCATAGTTAGGTTCCTTCCCAAACAACATTTCATAGGGGCTTTCGTTTAAGATAACGGGTGATGGTAGCCGATTAATGATGTAAACGGCGGTGAGGATGCACTCACCCCAAAAATCAATAGGCAATCCCGACTGAAAGCGAAGAGCCCGGGCAACTTCTAAGATATGTCTGTGTTTTCGTTCCACAACCCCATTTTGTTGTGGAGTATCCGTGCATGATGTTTCCAAAATAATTCCGCATTGCTCATAATGTTTAAATAAAATATTGGTCTGAAATTCTACTCCATTATCAGACCGTATGCGCTTAACTCGCTGTCCAAATTGATTCTCTACCATATTGCAAAATTGAATCAAATTTTGACAAACCTCAGATTTATTTTTCATAAGGTATACCCAAACACCTCTAGTGTAGTCATCGACAATAGACAAAAAATATCGTGCTCCTGAAGTAGAATCACATCTATATCCTCCCCATATATCACAATGTATTAATTCAAAGCAACGAGAGGTCTTACTAATACTTTCAGGAAAAGGCAGCCGTGTTTGTTTAGCTCTCAGACATGGATCACAAAAAGTACTGTTCCGTCGAAAATCTTTGAGAGATGTGAAGTGTTGTAGTTTTCCATCTGAAGCATGTCCTAAACGTTGGTGCCATAAATCTGAACGCGTTCCAACGGACATTGCCACCATTTCACCTCTTGATGACTCTAAATAATAGAGACCATTGTGGAGCTTTCCCACACCAATCAACTTTCCAATAGGCGTGTCCCCCAAATGCATAAGCTGGAGGAAAAAATGAATGTACAATTCAGATCGCCAGTGAGGCGACTGACAGAGAGCAGGTTGCATTGAAATTGTGGAACATATAACACACGTTGCAGACAGATTCCATTAGGTAGGCATAGACTGCCAATCGCAGAAACTGGAACGAGTTCGCCATTTGGAATCTTGATCGACGGTTCAAAAGGTTGAACCGAAATGTTGAACAAATTCTTATTATCACAGGTGATATGTTCACTTGCCCCGTAATCAATTATCCAAGTGCAAGTGTGTGATAATATTTCTTTCATGCTGGCGTGATTACTCTCCACTCAAGGAGAACAGAAGATACAGATTTGGGATTTCTATGATTTGCTAAGATTTTGGCTTCCAAGTTTCAGCTCTGATACCATGTTAAATTTAAGGAAATGAATGATAGAAGTAAGAGATATTATTGAGAGCATAAAACTTCATGTAGAGAAGAATGTTTCGTAAGTACTTCTTTCCATGCATGCATGTTACATATATAGTGCAATGAGTAAATGTAATAATACAAAGAAAATAAGATATGGGCCATGAGAACTATGCACCCACGTACAAATGCTTAATAGTAAGGGAACATCACACACTATGGAAATATATTATGGGACCAATACTCTTAATATGTTCTTCTTAATGATTATATTATTTACACAAAATTTCAGTTTCAAATTCAATTGGAAGTTAGTTAAATAAATT